TTTGACTGCAAGCAATTCATAGTGGGTTAATCAAAACCCTAATCCATTACTAAAACTCACACAGTCTCTTATAAATTTAAATGTAGTAATTAATGCAGACGTGTTATAAATTCAAGTTTCTCCATTTGTTCTGACTCCGCTCAATCTGCGCAGCCATTTCTAAGAGAACCTGAATTCTTAAGGTGTAACTGTTCTTACTGGCATCAGCCCAGAAACAGCACTACTCATAGTCTTAAGAAGTTACTTGGAAGGAGTAAAAATGTTGATCAGGAGTAGAAAATGTTTTTAAATTGCACATTCTAGATTTGACGGACAAGTGAAACCAAAATTCTTCTAACAGTAGCCTACATTCTTTTGGGTAAATTAGCATGAAAGACCAACAGCTGATTTCCAAGATACATTTAAGAATGCACATGCTCACTAATTAAGAAGTAAACATCACATAAATAAGACTTTTATCATTATTTAAACTTCAAATAATCAGTAAGAGTTTCAGGGAAGCCCAGCTTTCCTTGCTCCGTAGCAATTAATCCACCCAAATGGTGTGACCATTTATCTTTGACCATAAGTTTTAAATGGAACAGAAGTAAAGAACTCCTAGAACAAATTGCCTGATGGGGTCGCAGAGTCTTTAAACAAACGGGCAGGAGGAAGGATGCAGTTCTGGGGCGAAGAATGAACCGTAGAGCCCTGGAGGTCCCACCAAGCCCAAAGATTGCATCCATTTAGAGAACAGAGAAACTGTATTCATAAACAAGGGCTCCATAGTTAAAGGACTGAATTTTTAAAAACCACACTAAAGAAATTGATGCAGGTCACTTATTTTATAAGATGGAAGGTGCTTTGTATTTCGTTTGTTCTTCTGGTTTTAAGACATGCTGAAACTATTAATTTGAACCAAGTACAATAGCTCTTATTTATTAATACTAAACTGTTTACATGGCACCACTTCAGAGCAACCCGTTATTTCTAAGCCTTGAGAAAAGCGGCTCTTCTCATGCAAGTTTGTTTTCCTGCCATCTTAACTGGTCAAGGACTACATACAAACACGCACGTCTCTTCTAAGCAACTGGGACACTACAAGATGTCCTGTTTCCACAGACGTCAGTAGATTTGACAAGAATTATTTTTTTAAACTACATTACTCATTTATGTGGAAAAAGCATAAAAGCAGAACGTTTGATGCTTCTGTGCCAGCACATAGTATTACCGCAATACTAAATTATTAACTGCAGATCTGATAAAGAGAGTTACACTGTCCACACAAAAAAGAGAACTAACGAAGTTCTTAGAACTGTTGTCAGGTATTAGGCCAAAGTTTTGTGATGCAATTTCTCTTATACGGGATATAATGTTTTGGAGTCTTATATTCCATCATATCCCAAATTGTCTTTAGGAAATGGAAAAGGAGGAATGGTGAGCAGCCTTGACAAGAGTGAAAAACACCTGAAACAGTTTGAAACGGTGAAACCTTCTACATGTGCCATACTGGCTAGTTGATATGCCTGTAAAAGGCATGAATATTAAATGATTTTGAACGTGTAAGTGTTAGGCACTCTGACACGCGTGTCAAGATGCTATGCATGAATATCCAAGAAGCTTAAGCAAACTACTTCTCCCTCACAAGAATATTAATTTATTGATTTAAACTTATTTAGTAGTTAGGTGAAAATGCATAGGTAAATACTACCTGACAGCTTCCAAACCACATGGCTCAAATATTTGGTATTACAGCACTGCAAAAGTAAGGCTAACCAGCCGTAGCTGGAAAGGTGTTTCCATGTTCCCTCTCTCAGGAAGCCCGCACACTGCAGGCTGCTGCAGTGCATCCCAGCAGGAATACTGTCGTGCACTTGCCCTGGTTTTAGGCTCTCTTAATACCACTACCAGCAACTGCTGGAAACAAGACTGGGGGAAATAGAGCTTATTGACCCAGGGAACACATTCTTGTCTCACTGTGGCCTCACATTTTCAGCTAGTCACAGTTAATAAAAGAACCTGGTGCTCTGTGCCCCCTTAAACTTTTTTATTTCACAATTATAAAACCTGCAAGTCAGCCTGAGCAATTTAAACATCTGAACTATCCCTGTGCTACTGGCTATCTGGTAAGTATGCAGCACGCAGAAGACAAACCTGCAGGGAAGGTGATAATTCAGTGGCGTTTGTAATTACAGTTCAGAAATTTTCATTAAAAAAATACATTTAACCTTGTGAGAGTTACCAGAAGAGGTCAGTTGTACATATCTCTCTCTCGTATAGCACAAAGTTCTCATACTCCTGTGCTTTTCAGCTTACAGAGTAACAGTGCCTTTCCATTATATGTAACTACCTGCCACTCCAAATTTTTCCCATATGCTCATGATATATTTCTGTGTCATTTCTGATCGATCTTAACATCCTTGTCCTTAATTACATCCTAGCACCTGGCTGGTCCCTTTTACTCACATAGGGCTCCGTGTGACTTGAAAGATTCAGGACAATGTACAACGTAGTAGTACTGCAGGGAGAAAAGAATCAGAGACAGTTATTTGGTTTTAAAATGCATCTATCTGCCTTCACACAGGCAAAAAATAACATTCCTCTTCCAGTGCAGCAGCAAAGGGAAACCTTCCAGCACAGAAAACACTTAGTGATCTCTTATATTCACAGAAATCTAACAGGCTGAGTCTTAGTTAATAATTTTCCTAACAGCACCAGGGTTTCAACACACACTATTAAGAATGTAAATCTAACCTTTCCAAGACCTTACATACTTCTGACAGAATAGTTCTGACACAGATACACTGAATGGAATGACTACTATGGGTAGTTCCTGATCTTCTTGGAAAAGAGCAATATTTTTCTTTGGACAAAACTGACAGAAGGAAAACAAGCTACCAATTGCAAGAAGATGAAATACTTGGAGCAGTAGCAAAGAAGATACTTGGCAAATTGTCTGATCAGAAACTTCTTCCCAAAAAACAAGGTAACCTCACAGTTTCTAACATCCTATTTCTCCCTTCTGAGCCAAGTTTAAGCTAAACACTTACCTGACATTTATTGCAGTTCCTATTTATCAACAAACCCACAAAACCTGAAAGAAATGACATCAACTTCAAGCTCTGCACAAGACACAGCTGCTCATCTCCTTAGCAGACAGACTCCTAATAACACCCTTCAGTGGTGAACCATATTATTAACTGAAGAGTCAGTTTAGTTGAAGTTTCAAGTGCGAGTTAATTCTGATTTTCAAAGCCGCCTTGCAACACCAAGGGAGTTATTTTCTGCACTTCTGCAATGGAGATATCCACATGCTAGTAGATTCTAAGCAGATAGTCACCAGCATTGTCTCCTAGGAACTCAAAGACGGCTAACACATACTAAAATCCTTCTAATTGGACTTTCCATTACATCATAACTACAAAATTCACCTGTTTGATTTGGCTTTTCCTAAAATTATCAAACCCCTGCTAACCAATCTGTTATCCTCCCATGAGTAGAGACAGGAAAAAAAAGCTATTGTCTTTCAATCTTTCAGAATTGTGTATGTACCATTGTGGTTAATGTCCGATATCTGCAGGATACTCGTGCCACTGAGAAGTGTAAGGACAGAAGTACTATGATACTGGTTTTCCTTTAAAGCCACTTCCTATAACATGCAAACATTTCTAAATCCTATAAAAATATCTTTTAAAACAAAGACATCATTTTATATAAATGCACCACCTTGTGTCTGTATAACATCCTTTTTTTCTGAACTAATCTTCATTAAGAACTAGTAAGCATTTCCTACAAACAGAAAATACCCATCAAATCTTGACTAAAGGGAAATAACTGGACTGCAGGCATTAGACTCAAGAGTTTTTAAATACAAAAAATAAAATCCTCATCCTTTGGTTTTCAAAACTACAATCTCACACTACCAAATTGAGAGGGCTGTCACATGGCAACATCTTAGGAAGTACAACTTACCATGCTACTTTTCTATTGTCTTGAGATGTATTTTTAGAGGGAGGTAATTTGGAGTAGTTCCTGAGTTATGTTGTAAAAAGGGCAAAAATGGTAGTCATTTTCAACCTGCTAGAAAACATCTTTGGAAGAAGTCCTGTTGTTTTATATTAAAAAAATTATATTGTTCTAAGAATTAGGACATTAGAATTATTTTCTAAAGAATTTGTGCAACCACCCACCGCACACATTTTTTTTCCCCCAATGACAATCACCCGGCACGCTAATACAGGAGTTACCCGGAAGGTGACATGGTTACATAAGGTATCCAGGTGATTCAAACGGACACAGCCATACACAAATATCAGCACTTTTAAAAAAAGAGCTTTTTTAGTCACGGGACTTACATTACAAAGGAAAGTCTATCGTTTAGCCACTGAAATGTACAAAGTAATAGTCCTGAAGTACATACTGCTCGCTGCATAAAAGGCTACAAACTGCTTCTTGGCAATGGAATCAAATCCTTAAGAGATACAGGAAAAGGTTACAAGTCTATTCTTACTTTGTTTAATATACAAATACTCTTCAAGAGAAAAAGACAAGCAAGAGAATACCTCCAATAAAGGCAAAAGCTCTCAAATATTTCTTGCACATCTCTATCATAATGAAGTAAAGGACTTCTTAAGCATTATGTTCACTGAATTAATTTTGAAAAGGATTTGAAACAGAAGGGAAAAATAGTAATACAGCTGCTGTTTTATACTTCTTCATGAAGTCTGTTCTCCATAGAGTAAAAAAAGCACTATTTCAAATAGGAAATAGCGGGTTAAGTCATATATACAAACACTTGTAGAAGTGGTTATTGGGAAGTTTCTCCCTCACTTTTTATGCTGTTCGCAGGCACCACTTTCAGTCTCATTTCAGGATCCCACTGTACGAAGTTGTGTACTGGTTACTCTGGTTGGGTCAGAACAAGAACAACTTGCAGATGTTCATAATATAACCCAGACTTTCCATAATCTTCAGTAATGCTGTTCTTCCCGAGTCCTGGTTAAACACTTCAGCTATCCTGGTTAGTCAGTCGGCCTGTAAGCAATCACAGGCTGTTCTTCACCAACATCTATCAACAGATCTAATGGAACGTGAGGCTTGTCATAGCCAGAAAACTTGAGACAGCTGCTTGGAATGACAGTTTGTTGTACTTCTGTGGTAGAAACCTCTGAACCTGAAGAGTTATGGCATATATCCATTTGGCTACTGTCAGAAGTGAAATAACTCCCTTTTACTTTGCGATTCTGTTCGTCATCAGAAGATACCTCCTCTGTGCTCTCTGGCACAGACACCTCTTCTGCTTTGGCTGGAGCCTCTGGATGAGGAACAGAAGATGTTCCTTCACTGGAATTCTCAGGACTAACAGTTTCTTCTTTTGGCTCTGCCTCCAGTGAGGTTACTTCATAATCTGCTGACAACGCTGACTGACCTGGCATGAAGCTTATTACAGATACATATTTTGCCTCCGATTTTGATTCTAGAATGCTGTCTGTGTTCAGGTTTCTTATCACACTGACCTTAAATGGAAAAAGAGAAAAAAAAAAAATAAATCACTTTTAGTTCCACATAGTCTACTAATTTATTGGCTTTATCTTCTGTCAAAGTTTAAAGGTTAAAAAGAAAAAACTCAAATTCATAATAAAAATTTAATGTCACTACAACCAATCCCAACAGAAATTAGCAAAATTGGAATCCGGCAAGGTCATTAGCCTATATCTATGACTTCAACCATTTCATTAACACTTTTATGCAAGCTCTCAAAAATGCTACAGGCAAACACATTTGCAAGGACCAAATCCACTTCATGTCACCCACTGTATTTTAAGTTATCTAAAGTTTGCAAGGTAGAGGAAAACAGCAAAGGGAGGAAAAGCTGTAATAGTCTTCAACTAGTAAGCCATAATACTCTTCATACTGTAGAGCTAATGAGTGTAACTTGCAATGACTGTAATATTTTGGGGCAACCGTCTCAACTGGGAGGAAAGTAAACTTTGGAAAGAGATCTTTAAAATGACAGAAGAACCTTTATGCATACTCTGTAGTCATATCTATGCTGAAGTCTTCCTAGTTATTTCTCCTGTGTCACTAAGCACTCCCTCAATGCTGCGACAAACTTTAATATTTCACTTTGAAACCCCTCCACAGGAAGAACACATTAAGTCCTTCAGTGGCCAGGCTGCGGCTTGTTTTATACGATTATGACATGCCTTCAGGCTGTTTAGATTCTTGTGATTTGGGTGGGTTCGGGGTTTTGTTGGTTGGTTGGTTGGAGATTTGGTGTGTGGGCATTTTTTTTGTTTTGTTTTGTGGTTTTTTTTGTTGTTGTTTTGTTAAAAGGTCTTTTCAAGAATACATATGAAAAGCAAAGTAGGGTAAATTTTCAGCTATATGATGGTGTTCGCTAAAGCTAACAGAAAGCATAGGGAGAAAGGGTTACTCAATTAAGAGTGTCCTTTTCCAAATTTCATAATTCACAATATATGGGTATCAGATTATCAAGTACTGTAGATAAGCTAATTTCTTAATAAAAATGTAGTACATAATCACTCTTTTTGACATACTTTGTAAAAAAATAATCCGACTGAAAATACAGGTTGAGGCAAATCTGGAAGAAAGGGATATAGGGAGGAGGAAAAAAGGGGCAGAAAAATAATGTTGTTTAAGAAAAGCTACAAGCCACAGAACAGTGGGGGTTGGAGGGGCCCTCCGGAGACCATCCAGCCCAACCTCCTGCCAAAGCAGGGTCACCTACAGCAGTTGCACAGGGTGGTGCCCAGGCGGGTTTTGAACATCTCCAGAGAGAGCCTCCACACCCTCTCTGGGCAGCCTGTGCCAGCACTCTGACACCCTCAAAGTACAGAAGTTCTTCCTCATGTTCAGGTGGAACTGCCTGAGTTTTGGTTTGTTCCCGTTACCCCTTAACCTGTGGCTGGGCACCACTGA